CCAACAAAACAGAAACACGCCGGTCCCGAGCTCGCAGCGTTACAGGCTGTAGTTGAACATCGACGCCGAGGGGCTAAGCATTGCAGGAGTCGATTCAGGATGCAGTACATATAAGCAAGCATAAGGGGGACTGATTGTACAGAGCATACAAGTGAAGCGTCGGAGCAGGTATTAGGAAGGTGATTCAGAACCGAGCCATTCTTGTAAGTCAATTGTAAGTGGTACCTGGGGGTCGCAGCGGTGGGTGTATCTGGGTAGGCACGGAAAAAGCAGCGGAGGAGTAGCTTGCGGAGCATCCAGGCCCGTCGACGGAGCTTGCAGTATAGGAATCCAGCCATGCGCGAAGGCGAGATGAAGGAAGAGAGCAAGAGGGGTGCATCGCCACTGATTGGCATCTTGTGCCGTGATGCCGGCACCCGAGATCGCCGGCGGGGACAAAGTTGAACGTTGAACAAAGGAAATAGGCCGCCCGTAAGAACGGTGGTTGTTGAACACATATTGACCATTTTCTGTACTCCGTCGGAACAAAAAAGGGAAACAAACAACCGATTACGAGTTCGATCCCGTCTGAATAGGACGCCACTCCGAACGGGTGCGGCTATCCGCCATCGAGTCTTGCTTCATCTACCAAACAGACAGCTCCTGAGACAGAGACACGAACACCGATGCTCATCAGTTCTGTTTGGCGGGCAAAGACTCCCCCAGAAGTTGCACAGGCCACCAACAGAGCAGCCCACTGGGGACGAAACTGCGGGGGGATGGATAAAAAAACCTTCTATAGTCAAATCAATCATGCCCCGATCCCGAATCGAACGGATGTCCTGCTGGAATACTGTGTCTGACACCTTTCATCAATTACAGGCGCGGCCGTTTGCTATCGGGGCGTTCATTAGTTAGTTTCCTGTAGGTAAAGGAGAGAGTTACAAGACATCCATCCAGAAGAATTGCGGTGGCATCCAATAAGTCCCAAATTCCCCGGGCTTGCAACAGAAGACAAAAATTGGCAGTTTGGGAGAGGGAGTCACGCCCCGCTCCACCGCAGTGTTTGAGGGCAGCAGACAAAAAAATTATCCGGGAAGAGGTAAGACGCGATCCCGAGTCGAACGGATTGCCTCCAGTAACCGATTGGGAAATGCCTAATGGAGCGGAGGTGCGGCAGTCCGCCATCGCGTCTTTCCTTATTCCATGAGCCGCTGGGGCAAGCGTGTAAGCTTCCTCGGTGCAGGACGGCGGGAACTCAGGGAAGAACAGATAAAAATGAGCCAGTTCGCGATTCTGGTCCGGAAAGGCAGAGCGAAAGTGGGAGTGCCATTTGGATGCGTATTGCACTTGACGGGCTGGAGACGGCGTCGTGTTGTGTTAGGACGACTGCAAGACTGTTTGGGACGGGGAAGGCTGGATGGTTTTTGAACCACAGCCATCGAGAAAGGGAAAAAAAAGTACCAGACTGAACGGAAACGACCCAATCCCGAATCGAACAGGATACTGGAACAGGCTGCCTGCTGAACTCGGAGAACTGGCGGGTAGGGGCGGCGACGTATCATCGGGTCTTGTTGCATTGGCCTACTGGGCAGTGATTTGATCGCACTTGAACACAGACACAGCTGACTCACTCATCGATCCATGTATGGCCCACGTCCGGGCAGGGGGGATGCTGTGAGGAAGCGGCGTTGAATTGGATTTCTATGGAGAAGGATTCAAAAAAGAGGGCTTTCTGATGCCTGACTCAATCCCGAATCGAACGAGTTCCCCGCTGAACCGACAACCCAGATACACTACGTAGGGCGGATGCGGCCGTCCGCCATTGAGTCTTGTGTGATCCTGTTCAGACCATGAGACGGCTGGGCGATTGGGTGAATCATTTTTCTGCGGTACCGGTCAGTCTCGGGAAGGGAAGGAATAATTTAGAGCGAGCGGGTACGCACTGTGGGCGGTATATGTGGCCGTTCCACCACGGACAATCAACCCGAAGGGGAATGGCAGCCGCAACATTACAAGTTCCAAAGACGCTCGCACACCTGTTCTTCGCGACTCGCATCTGTTACTTGTGTTTGTCGTGCATCCAGAGTGCGGATGGGGTCGCATACAGGCGGGCATTTGAGGGTACAGATTCAGAGCAAAAGCGGGTTGGGGGCGCGTCGGTGGGGTCGGATTACAAGCCACAGTGCTCCGGCAAAACGCACGAGCCATACGGTACACGGGAAAGCATGTCATAGGCCCAGGCTATAATCGATATGTATAATCACTGGGATAATGTCGGCAGCGCGCGTTCGGGAGCATCGCACGTCGCAGCGGGATGTTATCATCGGAATTAAGCCAGAGTCGACTCAGTCGAGCCAGAGTGCAGGTCCGGCGGCGGGGCACAAAAGAGCCCTAGGTAGGTGCCATCATCGGATACACCACGGAGTGGACTTGGATGAAGACAGCAGCGGTGATTCTGGATACACAGGACTGCGGAACACGGCGACGAAGAAAAAAAGACGATGAAAGGAAAGAGCAAGAGAGGTGCATCGCCACTGATCGGCACTGCCCGTGTTGTCGGCACCGCGGCATCCCCTTGAAGAAAGGAAATTGGGGGCGAATGATTTGCTCCATGTACTCAGTCGAAAAAACACAACAACGAAAGTGTGACGGCAAAGCATAAGATATCTGTGATTGCTATGCTCCGATTCCGAATCGAACGGGTGTCCTCGGCCGATGACGGCTTTGAATTCAAGGTGCGGCTAACTGCTATCGGGGCTTTCCTAAGTTTCATGACATTTCGTGCAACTCCAATTCATGTTGCAAACCCATGCAGCAGCCAAGGTTGAAGGCAATGCATTTGATTCGGGTGGCTGGATAAACCATACGGCCACGCCGGGGAGTCGAACCCCCGATTGCAAACGACAATTATGCACATTATGAGTCCCGCGTTCTTTACGCCCGGTGTGAGGTATTGTCCGGGAAAGTGAAAGGGCACAGATCAGTTTTTGGGCCACTCCATATCACTCACTGTTTCTGCCGCCGGAGAGCGGAAGTGGAACGGGGAAAACGTTCGCTTCCATCCGTGTTACAGCTGTTTCCGAAAACCTTGGCACTACGCGATTTTTTTTCGCGCTTTCCAACTTTTGATGGAGGGCTAAGGATTACTGCTTTTGGCTCGGATCAGTGCTTTTGCCGTGATCGCCTCGGACAGTCTCACATACCGGACTGGCATTTTCAATATTCCAGGTCCATTCCATCTGTATGTCGCCCACACCATAACAAGAACGGTCCTGAACGGAACGAACACAAATAATTGGCCCAGCCCCGACATCCAGTATCAACGGTTTCCATCAGACCAAAAAAAAAAAAATCCATTGCGCCCCTTCTCTGTTATAGCCGGACCCCAGGTCGAACGGGAGTCCTACTTTTATACTTAGCAACTCACCAGGTACAAGCTCCACGAGCGACGAGATCCTCTGAACCTGCCCTGTTGGCAGGGGAGCGGACGAAATAGGGATGGATTATGCGCCTGGATACATTTGCACGTAGTACGACTTGTCGCAGGTTGAGTACCTTCGTCGTTCCTGGGATGATTCAGCCAAAAGCAGCCATGGGGTCGGTACACGCACTGCGGTTCGGATTTGCATAGAAAGGGTTATTCCAGCGAGGTTCAGTCTTCTTGGTCTTGAGGAGACTACGCCGAAGCGGGAGGAAAATAATACCTGGCCTGCAACAACTCAACAAAGGAAAAAGAAAAAAAACTGGAAGGTTGTCCGTACACGACTCGATCCCGAATTGAACGGGGTCCCCACGGAATTCTTGGTCTACCATGAACAAATGGCAGGCGTAGCCATCCGCTATTAAGTCTTGTTTCCTGTACTCCAAACCACACAATTCGTGCTTGACCTTGGACGAAGATAGCCGGTGAGCAACAGGGAAGGTTTAACGTTGAGCGAATTAGCATCGGCCATGTCGGCGTCGGGAGCAGGGACTGGGGAGGAGGGGGCAAGATTTGAAGTGGGAGAGGCGGGAGCGCTGACGAAGTCGTCCGAGCCTTCAAGTCCAAACTTCGCAATCTTGGCCGGTTAATCCCTTAGAGAGTTTCTTCTGCTGTAAGGGCAACCTCGAGGCCCGAGAATACTCAAGAGTCCTAGCGAGGGGAATCCAAAGATGAATAAACGGTAGCTACAGATACAAGATAACGCACCTAGCGAGGGGAATCCAAAGAGAAGAAACTCTGAGGATCCCCGCGCCAGGCCGTGAGTATATATAGCTACTGTCCAGAAGCACGTGATGGAAGTGATCGGAGGGACCGGGCAAGGTCTCGGGCCCGGTCGCAGGCCAAATGCCACCGAGAGTCGGAAGTGTGTCGATTACGTAATCCACTCACCCTGGGTGGATGGACAGATGGGTGGATTACATAATCCGCCAAAGGCAGAAATCGACGAGCCAAAGGGCGTTGGCGAGGGGTTCCCCTGACAACTGGGTGAGAAATGGGAGACGAAGTACGGATTTATTTTGATTGCTGAGATGTCAATGAAGTGCCCCATCAAAGCACTAGTCGATTCGGCCTGTCCATAGTACTCAATTCGTGGATATTTTCACTAATCTTTTGTTGGCAGTCTGAGAGTAAACCTATTTTGCTTTCACATCCGGAGGCAAACGGTGCAAAAGCGAGCCCAAGCGAGATGTATTTTGCACTTCTAGTGCATTTTGCATTGCAAAGTCAAATGTAGTATGGAGGAAATCGAATGATTTTACTCCAAGTTCTCACTCGAATCAACAGAGAAAATGGGACGGCAAAGAATGAAAGTCTGCGTGCACCCTCACGCCCCGATTCCGAATCGAACGGTGTCCTCCGCCAATAATACTCCTGAGTTGCGGTGTGGCCCACTGCTATCCGGCCTTTCCTGCTGGACATTCAGAAGGCTTGGATTCCCCTCCTAGTCATAGCCGTTGCGAGTCATAGCCCAAGCAGCCTCCATAGGCCCTTTCTCTGTCGGCGAATTTAGTAAAAGAATAGGTCAGACCCCGAACGTCCTCGGGTGGAGTCGAACCACCGATTCTCCCGCAATGGACCGTCCTTTGGCGGGTTTGCATGCGGCTGCGGGTGAGCGTACCGCTCAACGAGGACTTATGTTGTCTGCTCTGCAGCCGGGCTGTCTTACACACTTCTGGCCGAACTTAATCACCGAGCCCATTCCCAACGCGTTCGTCCATGGACTGTTGGATCCCTGCACCAACGAGCTCTGCAGCCAGGAAATTACCTTGACAATGGTGTGCACTTTTTTTGCCCAAAAAAAAGGTTCCGCTATATGTAGGACATTACCTAGACTCGTGACCAGTCTGCCACGGCAAATCTGTAGTGCAAGCACTATGCCGTAGGCAGACTGGTACAACTCGGGACGCCCAAGAGGTGGGCGGTATCAAAGTTCTGGACACAGACCTCCAAAACATTTGGACCCCGAATACCGGGGGGGGGGAGGGGGGTGACAGTAACATCAGTCACTCGGCAAGCGCACCCACGGCGATAAATCTTGCAAGCGATGGAGAGTTGATCGCATCACTGAGTAGTGTGAGACCTGGGAAAGTCTCTGAAGGGGATCTCCGTAGACGACTAATCCCGGCGTCGCGCGTATGTGGTAAAGACCCCACTCAGCGGTCAAATCCTTCGAAGATCAACTAGGGGACTGGATATCCGGTCGCCTGCACGTTGATCTTCAAGACTCGACAAATATTCGTCAGAGTCCGGATTGACTCGCGAATAGAGTTGAATAGGCAGAAACGCCTTGGCCCGTGCTTGGAGAGACTCAACAAGTCACTAACTTACTCGGAGAGGCTCGACGAGAAGAAAAGATTGGGGCTAGGCGTTGGTTTGTGATAAAAGTGTAGTTAGTTCTTGCCTCTAATGGCAAACAATCCTAAATACTACTACATTCAGAGAATCGTAACTAGAGATTTAATCGGTAAAAAAGAATAGGGAAAATCATACGTATGTGTCATGAGAACGATTCCTTACAGAGCCCCCCCAATCTCTAGTTGCGAGCGGTACGAAGAGACGCGATCGGCGTGAATTTCTCCGGCATGCCGATGGACAGGGTAGGACGCAGATTCCAATCAGCCGGGAAGGATCGACGCAGGAGGTCAGCCCCTTCTCTGAAATCCGCAGCTGAGGCGACGTGAGGCGGAGCGTGAGTTCCACGGTTTCCCCCGTGGAAATAAGCCTTCCACTCCCTGTGCGTGCGCCAGCGGTAGTGACCTTCCGCTAGGTCGCCCTTCAGGTTCTCCAGCATGGCGTAATAACCCGTCGTCCAGATTCCGTGAACGTGGCCGCTTTCCTTCTCCAGCAAGGATGGGTGAGGCCAGAGAGAGGTCTCAGTACTGGAGTTTCCAGTCGGGACGTGGCCGATCAGCATTGACACTTCGGATGGCGACACGCAATCGCTAACCAAGAAGACGTCGTCGTCATTGTCCTTGAGCAGAACCGTGTCGCCTCTGTTGAATTGAGTTACTTGCATCGAAGGCCCCCCCATGAGACGGCGAATGAGATCCGGATTATAGAAGGTCGCGATGAAGCTCAAAATCCCTCCGGCGTAGATGAAGGCGGTCGCGTGAGGACGGTTAAGAAGATTGCCGATAGTTGCCAAGTATTTGCCGTACGCCGCAACTCCTCCTATCGTGTAGGGTATGCATTCGTCGACGTAACCGGGCGCGTACAGCGCGGAAAGCGTATTGCGCTCCAGGTCCGTCATGTTCCGCTCCCTGAACTCTCGGACGGCGCTGGCCTTCACATAGAGACCGAACGGAATCCCATAACGAATGGCCAGATTGAGGACGCCAATCATGTCCATGGCGTCCGTGCAGGCCGCCAACATCTTGAGGTATACCGATGCGCGCGGGTCCTTGAGCACCAGGTACGAGTGGTCGAGCCACAGCAGCGCCCAGTACCAGTCCGTACCGGGGTCCGGGCTAGGCGGTGCGAGCTGGGCCATTTTCTCCACCCAAGCCATCAAAGCTGCGACAGCTTCCCCACGAGTAGTGAAGCGGTTGTAGTCGTGGGCTTCCGGCGAGGGAAACACCGTTAGCGGAGGAGTAGCGCTTGGAGAAGGGGGCGCTTCCATGTCGTCCCCCGTTAGACCTTGAAACTCGTCATCGAACGATGCTTCCGAGCGGTACGCTGGTGAGCGATCCCGACTCAGCGATCGTCCACGAGGCCCTTCGTCCTTGCTTGAAGGCCCTCGGTTCACGTAGGGAGGGCTTGCCGAACGCGAAGAACGGCGACGAGGACTGTACGAGCGGGAACGATGCGCACGACCGCGAGGCTCCAGCCTGCTGCCCAAACTCGTCATTTCCTCAAGCCATCGAGTGGATATCCCCTTGTCTTCCGTGCGTTCCGAACGCCGCGTAGGAGACATGACCGGTGGGCGAGGATGCTCAGGAGGAAATCTTTGCGCTCTATCCCTTGGGGGGAGATGTTCACGACCTACTCCCCACCCACTCGCGTCCGAATTGGAGGAGGCGGGAAGAGAGAGCTGCGAGAAGGAGCGCCCGGCTCCAGGTTTATCGGGGCCTCCATTGAAGTTGTTGAAGTAGCGATCTGGCCTAGGTGCGTACCGGTTTTTCACGCGCTCGCGGATGATGGCGTCTGATTCGAAGTAGGCTTCCTCTTCCGATATTTTGACTCCCTTTTCGCGAGGCGCAAAATCGGTGAGCGGGGACCGGTGCTCGCCACGCTGGCCGTTGTGGTCGTTCTGAGGAATGGGGTTCTGCCGATAGAAGGTGCACACGTCGCTGGCATTAGGTATCTTCGATCGCACAATCTTCGCCTTCATCTTCTCCGAATAGGCACGAATGACGTGCCAATTCTCGAGAGGACGAGCGCCGTAGTGCAGGTGGTCCACCACGCGGTAATCCATCGTGGGGTTGTAGTCGGTGATGATTTCGCCCGGCCGCCCCATCTTCTTGTCTTGGAAAAAGATGTCGTATCGATCGATATTCTCCTCCCACTTCTGGAAGCTGGGGAGAAGTCTCAAGTCGAGCGGCGCCGCGTCAATGGCCTCCATCCGAAGCGCCATGTACTCAGCCCAGAACTCGGGGCTATAGCGCACGAATCTCCCGGAAGAACTCTCCTCCTCCGTCCAGATGTAGTGGCAGCCGACATCGTTTTCAAGCCAATGTGTCACCGTCGTCTCATGATAGTCCCGCGAGAGTTTGAGCAGTATACCACGCTTAAGTCGGTCCCCCAGGCGCAACGACTCGACCAGGTTATAATCGTCGCTGTCCAGGGCGTCCCTCCAGGTGGGACAGACCGACACGAACCAAGAAATGAACGCCACGAACGCGAGGAGCGATCGACGTCCTTCGGTACTCATTCTGTCGGCCTCCTCCGTCGTGGTCTGAAACATCCTGAGGAGCTGATAATCCATCTCCTCCGGCAAGTCCCCGACCCCGTTGACCCAAGCGCTCGGACCGTAATAGTCCGTGGACATGGCAAGATCCACCACGATGGTTCTCAGCTTTCCTGAGAGGTACGTAACCCTTTCGACCCACTTCTCATCGAGGTAGTACCCAATGAATATAGGGCTTCCAGAATCATCGCTGCCTCCTGCACGTTGCACGTCCGTGTAGTGCTCGTACAAAGGGATCGGGTTCGCGTCGAACGCCAAAGCGATAGGGTCCTCAGTTGCGTCGGTTAGAGCTTTCGTTGGCATCCATCCCAAGTAGTGCTCCGTGGGGCTGTAGATCGCCGCGTACTCAAGGAAGTTCGGGTCTCTGAGGATTCCCATCGTGTCCAGGGACGTAGTCGCAGTCCGAGGGGGAAGTATCGTTAGGATCGATAAGCTGGCTGCCGGGTCGATTTTACTGGCACTTGCGTTCAGCGAACACCATTGCGCTCCGTTTTTGGTAGACCAGGTGGGGACGATATGAATCCCTTCCCGAGTAGTGAAATTGAAATCAGACATTTTGGGTATTTACTGAACTCGCGCGAGCCGGATATCCGTGCGCCGCGAAGCTTCAGAGTCGATCGGAGATTAGCCGGATATCCGTGCAATCCTACCGACCAACGTACAGACTAGACAGAGATAGAAAGAGATCAGATATAGAGAGAAATGGAGTGGTGAGAGGAAAGAGCAAGCGTTACGGAACCGAGGTATCAGCCATCATGCGCTGGCACTCCGGCAGGGTATATTCGGATCCCTCGCTTGGGTTCGGGTCAACGAGATCAGGCCGACTTGGCCCGCTTCTCCTTGGCCTTCAAGTAATCCCGAAGCATTTCTGGGGCATTACGAAGGTCTTTATGTGTTTGCCAGGTATCGAATTGAGGACCGTAGTTTTTCCAACGCACGAGCCACATGCGCGTCTTGCGGCGTTTGTCGTAGCGATCGCCGACGATGCCTTCGACTTCATATTCCTCGGACTCGATTTTGTGTTCCCGCGTTTCAGGCATCACTGAACGTTTTCCCAGCTGTGGTGGGCTTTCCTTGTACGGTTTGATATGGTCCAGGTTGAACACGGGAAATCCGGGATATTTGTCGTTCATTCTTAGTCGATACGTTCGTGGGTTGATCTTCTGCAAGACTTCAAAAGGTCCTATCCAACGTTGAACCAGTTTGGCACCTTCTCCCTTCGACTCGATCCACTCAAGGGAGTGGGGGTTGACCAACACTCTAGATCCTACTTTGAATTCCGGTACTTCTCGACGGCCTTTGTTGTAATGTTTAGCCTGATCCGCTTGGGCTCGCGCAATTGCCAACCGCGCGTTTTCCCGATTAACTTGAAGTCTCCGAAGGTATTCACTAGACTGCTTGCTCATCCCGTAAGTCGAGCTGGACTTGAGGTTTTCGGGGATGAAAAAGTCCAAGGGAGTTTTCGGGGCGAATCCGTACAGAAGCAAGAAAGGAGTTGTGCCGGTTGAGAAGTGGACGCTATTGTTGTAGGCGAATTCCAGAATCTTGAGCCACTCCGCCCAATCCGATCGGTCAGTCGCAACGTAGGCCCTAAGCATGGTCTCGAGCTGTCGGTTCACGTTCTCAGTCTGACCATCATGCTGAGGATGGTGTGAGGAGGATAAAGACATCTTGGTCTTCATTGCAGCTGCTACCGACCTCCAAAAGTCTGACGTCCAACGAGGGT